ACACACAAGCAACAGCAACAGAAACAGCAACAACAATAGCACAAAAAAGACCAGCCCAGGTTCAGAGCAACACAAATACGATTGCTATCCAAGCATCGACTGCTTGAACTGCCTCAACTGCCACCGGCGTACCTGGCGAATCTCTCAGGAAACAAGTAAAACAAAAGCCAAACACAAATAGCCAAGTCAGGAATACTCTTACGAAGTAAACTAAATATATTCAGCTGAGATAGCTCTCAAGATAGATGCCACATATAAGGCATTAAGTGGATCAGTCATAACATGGTACTCTATTCATATCTCTGTGCTCGCCTCATGCGCTAGCTGATCTTTCTTATGGCCAGTGTATTGCAGGCAACTACAGCCATGTTCGATAATCACAATTGTTTGCAGCGAGGCTGCACAACTCAACGCATTCCGGCGTCTGCTTTGTTGCTGTTGCTGCTGTCGTCGATGTTGCTGTTGCTGTTGCTGTTGCTGCTGTTAGCTGGGCACAGGAAACATTGGAAAATTGAGCATGGAAATGAACGCAAAAAAAACACACAAAAAAAACTGAACACAGAGCGAAAAAAATCGCTAGCCAAATGGCAACGGAAAACCTCTTCATTCAAGTCGTCTGTCTCCGTCTCCTTCTACAGCTCCAACGCCAACTGCAACTCCAACAGCACCGCCTCTGTCTTCGTCTTTGTGGCTGTCTCATTTCGTATGCGCGAGGCGTTTGCCTGAGAGGGTACATTCCAAGGCTCAAGCCTGGGCCGGCGTAGAGAGTCTTAGGCAGCTCAAACGCCAGCACTGGCGATTTGTTGCTGCTTCAAGTGGAGCAATTATTGCAACTGCAACAGCAGCAGCAGCGGCAGCAACAGTCGCTGTTGAAAGTTTTTGGCATTCGGTGTGTGGGGTAATGCATCATCACATGGGGGCACGCCTGGGCTGTCCTGTCCTGTGCTGGCCTGGCCTGGCCAGAGCATCGACATAAACATTCACATTGGCACCGCATTCAAATCGATTTGGTACGCATCTTCCTGCAACATGTTGCGGAAACAGCAACAGCAACGGCAATACAAGCAACAGCGCGCCAAATTGATTTGTTGCTGCTTTAGTGTTAATTGCCAGACCACGACTAGACCGGGCCAGAGCCTGAGCCATAGCCAGAGCCAGAGACAGTAGAAGGAGGCGTCATCAACATGGTCGTGTGGACATGAACTAACTGTAACTGCATTCAGTGGCTCAGGTGGTTGCTGCTGTCGGGAATGTGGGGCACTAGAGTTACGAGTGGGCGTTTCACAAAGATACACACACACAGACACAGGCATGTGTGTTCGGCAGAGGGGGCAACAAAGGAGGCAACAAGATTGCAATTATGAAGTACGTGTTCGAATGCGTTGAAAGCTCACAAATTTCTAATGATGATATATTGCAGCTGGCGCTGGCAACATGGCCAAGGACTATCAAATTAACAAGATCGTCGCTTCCGGCGCACAATTGCTGCAACGGCAACAGGCCAGAAGCTGGAGCGAAGCGAGTACAGTATTCAATTGACTTGCGCATTAATCTTGGCGCTAGACTCTCGGCGTGTTGCTGCCTGTTGTTGGGTTTCCCACAACGGCAACACACGAAATTTATGCCTAGTGGCGTGGAATGAACGGACGGGCGACGAGTGCAGATTTCACGTCAAAACTCATGGGTGTACAAATGCATCATTCTGATGGTCATCATCAGTCTCTGCCTATCAAACAATCGACAAAACAAACAGCAGCTGAGGCAGTGGCAGCGGCAGCAACATGTTGCCAAGACATTGCTCGTTGGCGTTGGCAACAATTACCCAGAGCTGGACCCAAGTCAAAGCCCTGAATGTTTTTGTCTGCGACAGTTTTGTGTGTTCCTGCATATGTGTGTGTGTGTGTGTGATTGCTGACTGCTACAAATTTCAACGTCGCACAAAAAGTCAGCCTCGACAGCAATCTGCACTTGAAAATCTAACAGCAGCAACAGCAGCAGCAACAAACACCAAGCACAAGGAAGTGGCTGCCACCGCGTGGCAACCTGTTTCTGCACTTGACCATGCACCATGCCAACATGTTGCCGAATTGACAATTTCGTTGCGCATGCGCAGGCAACAGTTGCTGCCGCTGCAGTTGCTGCTGCTGCTGCTGTTGTTGTCAATTGTCAGTTGGCGCAGTTTTGCAGCCACGTTGCCTGCTTTATGCAAATTGCAGCAGTCAAAGCGCTTCTATGGCCATGACCACTGCCCCAGCCCAGGCTTCAGCATCAGCTTTAACTCCAGCTCGAGCTCGAGCTCGACTTCCAGTGGGCGTTTGATTTCAATCGCTAACATTTTCACATATCCATGGCCATATGTTGCTGGTGTCGACACAACGGGCACTCGTCCTGCAGCTGAGTGCAGTTTATTTTTCTTCTTTTCTAGTTTTCTTTCTATTATTTTTTAACGGTTCGCCATTTCGATTTTATGTTTAGTTATATTTTAGCTGTGGCTCGTTATTTTTCATTGGCTCTGCCTCATATTTGGCCTCTTGATCTCACTCGAATGCCATTCCCCCAATCTCGTCCAGACATTATTAATAATCATTTTCCACTGCACGTCCCATTTTCGGGTGTTGATCTGTGCCTACGCACACAATTTGTATGCCTGCTCCAGACGATCGCCAAGTGTTGATATACATCCACTGCCCCCTCCAGCTGTCCCCTTAGCCCATTGACAGCATTGCCACTGCATAGCATTTGGACCCCGCCTCAACGCGTCGGTGGCCTATCGGCTCTATCGGCGTTTGTTCGCTTATCATGTAATTTGATCTTAATGCGCATCGTGTTTATTTATTCTACCCAAAAAAAATATATAAGAGGAATTAATCCTCCACACTTGTGTTGCGCAAGGGGATCGCGGGTGCAGCGCGCGCTATATTCAATCGATTTATTGTGTGGTTGTTAGCTGTCAAGTGGATGGCATTAGGCATCGGCCAACGATGTCAGCGCTGTGACATTCCAAATTGGGCATGCAAGATTTGGGTATGTGCGTGAGCGTTGCCCTACGCTTACCTACGGACAGTTGCATGATCGTTAGGATCAGAGCTAATCAACTCGACTCGCAACACCACAGAAGAGCACACAGCTTAGAGTTGACAGTAAGACAAATGATATAGAAACTCATTGCAAGCTGCAGCTGAGTTCCTTAAGATTCTGGCAAATTTGTTAAAGTTGTTAAATTTCAGTTACCTTGGCGCTATCCAAGGAAATCTTTCTGCAGTCAGTAGATTCTCTTTAATAAAGTTCTCACTATGGTTAGCATTCTTACTGCTTCAAGAGTTTCATATGTCAAATGTCATATGTGTCAAGCCCTTTCTGGCAGCTGATATGCTCAGTTGCAGCTCATAAATATGCATTTCAAGTGCAATTTGAACTGCAACCAACATACGTGGACTCCGCCAACGTCGCGTCGTCGACTGCATTCAAATGCGGTGCACGTCGTTTGGGTCGTTAAAAATCGAACACGCACTCAATCGAACAATCGAACTATCGAGTCACATTGATCTATGGGACGGGATTGGACTGGACTGGACTGAACTGAACTGCTTGGGCGTACAATATGATTTACGATTGAGCCATGAGGAATGTCACGATTTAATGGGCTTATCGAAGCTGCCTTTTCAGCCCCGATTGCCAGTTTCCAATTCCTGCGTTGGCTGCACTGCGTGCGGTCTAATTATTTTATTACGAACTTGTCGCGGCGATGGGATATGGGATACGACGGGATGAGTTGGGGTGTGGCCCGTCGAGCGTCGTCATACAACTTTTGATTCAATAATTTTCTAATTAAAATTTGAAGCTCGACTCAGCATTAAAAATCCGGCTCGCTGCATAAAGCGTGCTTTGATTTATTGGTTAAATGTAAATATAAATAAATATATAAGTAAATATGTGTGGGGCGGACTGCCCACCCCACCCCAAACGGCAGCAGGGGGTCTGGCCGTGTTGGGCTTCACCTGTCAAACACTTACATTTTAACGATTCGCTGCATGCCCCCAGCTGCAGCTCGAGCCGAAGGTGCGACCCGGTCGCAATGCCACAAACTTTATGGCCAGTTTGAAGGGCAAACGAAAATGGTTTCAACTTTGATTTTGAGTCTCTGATTTATTTGAGCCAATGTTGCCAAAGCGCAGGCGCAGGCGCTGGCCACATAAATTTCCACCAACTGCTCCAATGATATGAACTGTAAAAACTCACCATAATTTTTAATTGTACAAATTTATGGCCTAGCTGAGACTTCGACTGCCATGCAGCATGCCATGATGCAGTGCCTCATCCCATTGTGCGTTGTCCGCTGCTCGTTGATGGCGTTAGCGGTTCTTTTGTCCCCCGCTTTATCTGGTTGACCAGTTTACGGCCGATTTATGGTTGATGACCACTGCAGATAACTGCCTAGTTGGAGTTCCCAGGGCGGCGCTATTAAAATCAAATAAAATCAATGTTTTTCCCATTTTTAAATTTCGGCCTTTTAATGAATAGTCCAGCGTCATAAATCAGTAATCTATATGGGCCACAGCCCACGCCCTCCACCTGGTCCCCGAGTTTTTATTTTATTTTGTGACATTGTTCGATTTCCAATCAAATCTCGTTGTAATGATGCATTTATAAAAATATAAAAATGTTAGTTTTGATGCTCGCAGCGCGATATTTAAATTCATTTAACTGCGAGCTGCAAAATCAGCATGAGAATGGAAAAATCATTTTTGAGCTCATTTATGGACCATTTATGGCGTACTTAAAACAAAAACTCAAGTTTTCATTTGATTAAAATCTTATTTTCGAAGAAAACTTTCATGAACTGAGAAACAGCTGTTACAACTTGTAAACTTGTTTAGCTACAATCTTTCGTCTGGCTGCTAATTAAGTTAAGATAACTTTTCTGTCCCATCGTTCCACTTCAGCTGCAGCTCTCAGCTAATTGTTTCACAGTTTGGGTATATAAACAACTATGAAGTCATTTACAGTTGCATTTAGCCAATTTATTTGCAAAATGCGACTTGGTAAGTTACCAACTGTAATTCTCGGCCATTCCTCATGAGACTCCATATTTGCAGCCATTATAATATGGATTGCTGTGCTGAGCCTATCGCAGGGGGCATACGCCCCGGATATATGCTCAAAACAGTCTTTCGGCTACAAAACCGTCGATTCGAAAGACCCGAAGTCATATTTCCTATGCCTAGGCCTGCTGGGCAAGGTGTGGGGCCATTGCGATGATGGATTTCTGTTCAATGGACCACAGCAAAAGTGTATTATCGACAGGCAGCTAAAGGCAGCCAGAGAGGATGCCGGCGGTCCGGATAATGTTTTCAACATTAACCAGAATATAAGCATGCACAAGCCAATTATATTCAACATCTTTGGTTCACTGTGGAAGCCTTCACATCCTTCACCCCCATCTACAACGCCAGAGCCGCCAGTCACCATAGGTAAGCACATTCTCGACTATGATCAATTCTTAATCAAATTGTTATTTTCAGAGTCCAGCACAGCATTACCGAATACGACAGAGAGTTCTTCTTCAACAACGGATAGTTCTACAGTGAGTTCTTTGGCTCCGAGCACCACCACTGAGAGCTCTTCCTCTTCCTCAACGGCTAGTTCCACGCAGAGTTCTTCTTCCTCCTCAACGGCTAGCTCGACCGAGAGCTTCTCTTCTTCTTCAACTGAGAGTTCCTCTTCCTCTTCAACTGTGAGCTCCACAGAAATATCTTCTTCTTCCTCAGTGGCAAGTTCTACGGAGAGCTCTTCCTCTTCCTCAACGGCAAGCTCCACAGAGAGTTCTTCTTCATCTTCAACTGAGAGCTCTACTGAGAGTTCTTCGTCTTCCTCCACGGAGCACTCTGACACGACTACAGCCTGCACGACGGATGAGAGCTAAGTCGACTGCTGGCTTATTTAATCAGAGCTAAGAATAAGATCAGCTCTCGGCTTCAGCAATCAAGCCAAATTTTAAATTAGCTTTAAGCGGATGCTATGACAATTCAGTTTTAATGGCGATTAAATATTAAGGATGCATATGGTTCAGAGTTCATCCCACTTGCCACTGTATTATTCATTTCCACTTTGCATTGGTAATTTGCAGGCTTCACATTTGTTTGTCATTCTGCCGGTGTTTTAGATAAAAACAGAGACAAAAAAAAACCGAATGTTGTCGCATAAACAACGCGAGAAACAACAAAAGCCAACAACATGTAGGTATGCGGCCCACCATAGCTCTCCTGCTCCATATAAATATCGGCCGGGGTCTCATATTTCAATTTCGATTTTTGAAAACGATGTGCGAGCTAAACGCAAACAAGCCGACGACAAAGCAGCAAAATAAACAGACAGCAAATACACAAAAATGCGTTTATACTATATGGAGATATACTCTTTATATGTGATACATATATACATTGATATACCCTGTGAGGAGAGCAAGTTGTAGAGGGCATATCGAAATGAATATTGGAGCTCGTATCTATAAACTAAGAGCTTCTCTCTTGAGCAGAGTAAGGCTAATCGAAGCAGTTGTTAAGATAAAGTTTTAAAGCAAACGATATGCTTATTAGAGGGTATCTAGAAGTTCGGCACTTGCGTCTGAAGCTTGCTGTGTTAGCGCGTATCTATGCATGGGACGTGGGTCTGTGTGTTTGGGCCCGGGGATCTGTTGCTGTTATGGACCGAGGCTGTCGTTCGCATAAATGCAACGAAACTTTTGCCCTTGCACATTTGATGCCAATTCCGATGCGTTGCAGTTGCTGTTGCCGCCACGGAAAATGTCCAAAAATGAGGCACAAACATGCGCATGAATTTTGCAAAGCCAACAACAGCAGCGGCAGCGGCTGTGGCAGTTGCACTAACAAGTTGCCACTGCCAGGAAATGCAGCGCAAATAAATGAGGCAGTTGGCAGTCGTCCCTGGACCTGGACCTGGGCCTGTGGCTGTAGCTGTAGCTGGGACATGGACATGTCCGCCAATATTATAGCCATTTGTAATTTTATACTTATTTTTGCAAAAGCGTTAACAGTTGACCGCAGCTCCTTTTCGGTCTGACCCCCGCGCGCGGCAGCCGTTTGCATTTTAGATTTTGCCACATCGGAAATTCTATATTCTATATGCAACATGTGCGTTTTGGTAGCACGGGACTTGCAGCTGTCGCTGCCCTGCGGCAGAACCTCCTTAATAAGTCAATGCGAGACCCGCTCACCTTTTCGACTAATTGCGGGGCGATAGTTGGGCGCTACTTTCGCGCCTCGTGCTCCACCTCGGGGCGCAGACGGGCGGCTATTTGCATAAACATGCAAACGTGGCTAATACGCGGCGGCGTCGGCCACGGCGGCCAACTTCCGTCTCAAGGCCAACTGTGAAATGAACTACAAAATAACACAAAAAATTAACTAACTCGAAACTACGAAAATTCAATTAGCAGTTGGCTAGAGCTCAACATGAAAAGGGCGTGGCCGCGGACGTAGAAAATCTAAGCTAAGCGAACCACAAACTCGAACAGGCTGTTAAATGTAGTTTATGTTGTGCTGCAGCGCTGCCACTGAGTTATGCTAAGCTCCTGCAGTCGAACTTGAACCAACAATAATACGAAAAAACCATCTACCTACCGCATTTTGTGTCCAAAATGGTTGACGACGTCTCCGACGGCGGCGTCTCGCAAGTGGCGTTTTGTCAAATATTTGTGGCCGGCGCGGGCAATCGGCAATGGGCAATGGGCAATCGGTCCGGCAGCCAGTTTTATCCTTGTTCCGCTCTTCACGACTTTTATTTAATGAATTTCGCAAATTTTTGAGGCAGCATCGCACGCATGCGAAAGGCGCGGAGTTCAATTCCACAAATGCCATGATCTGCAAGTCGAAAAAAGAAGGAAACAGACTGAATGAGTCGCCGTCGCCGTCGCCGTCGCCATCGGCCCGAGGCACCTGCAAGAGATTATCGCGCCGAATGTTTAGGAACCCAAAGCACATAGTCTCGAGCTACTGCTTAGAGGGCATTATATGCGAAACATTTGATCAGCAATGCTCAGATAGCATATAATGTGAGAGAACATGAATAATTCCAGCTCAGCTAGCTCGGTTAAGCGAAGAGTAAAGCTTGATTCAAATTATTCTTATGAAAGTATCTAAATAGTTAATCTGAATATCCGTTTATAAATCTTTCTCTCTCTGGTTTCGAACAATTTACAGGTGTGGGAAGTCTAGCAATTGCCGCTGCCTTGCCGAGCTCCTTCACGATGTACGTAAATTGCCAAAGCCCGGCAGTTGGCGGCTTTTGGGCGCGTCTTGCCGCATTTTGGTTCTTGCCAATGAATTGCCAAACGCTGATGACAATGAGCTTGGCCAGCAGTTGCAGTTGGCCCTGAACGTCAGCAGGTAACAGCAGCATTTCCGAGTCGAATGGCCTTTTGTGCGCTGAACTTCGAAAGACCAAAAACAAAACAAATTGAATGTCGCACCGAAGCTTAAATACTCTGCTTTAAATGGAAGTATATAAGAAGGTAAGAAAGTAAATCACTGTAGCTCTTTGAGGATGGTACCTATTTGACTATATAATGCCATTAGAATCCTTTCTTTTCTGTTCCCTTCTGTAGACAGTCTGTAGTCTGTATACATCTTCCCTTATCGCTCAAGACAGCCTTACAAAACTCTCAAGAAGTGTATAGAAAGAAGAAGAAACAATCGTCAGTCAATTGCTAAACGATTTGGGGTATGCGCGACAGGTATGCCTATGAGGCTGAAGCAGAGGCTGGCTGCTGCTTGAGTTTCAGTTCCTCAATTCTGGCTAAGAGCTGGCGACAATTTTGCAATTGTCTGCGCTAACAACAACAAAAGCAGCAACAGCAGCAGCCACAGCAACAGCAACAACGACAACGATGGAGGTCGTCGCATTGCTCGCATAGCCGACAATGAAAAGCGCCGCCAATTGCAACTTGCATACAAAAATCTGTTTTGGCTCTTGATAATTGCCATTGAATGGAGTTGGTTTTGGGTATAGCCTGTCGGCTGGCCACTTAGCTGGAGGTTAAGCTCATTTAATTGTTGTCGCTACTGTTTACTCGCCAGTTTCCCTCCCTTCCGCCTGCCAACATTGAACCTGACTCAATGTCTGAGACTTTTGGGCACTCGACAACCTGTGCGTGGGCAGCTTCAATTACGCGCTCTTACAGGCCCGCCCGCTGTGGCCGCGTCTCATGCTTCAGTGAGCTGGCAGTCGAAAAAAATGGTAGAAGAAAACTAATTAATAAATTAATTATGCCATTACAATAATACACACACGCACACACACACATGCAGAGAAACTCCCTGGGGCAAGAACTCACGCACTCTAATTATGAATATTTTCATGCTGAAATATGCACACACTTGGTGTTGTTGTTGCTGTGGCTGTTTGTTTGTTGCTACGGGAGTTGACTTAATTAGCCACCCAGTGAGGCAGTGCAGCACTTGTGCTGGAGTCGGATTTGAGCTGCGGCTACCGATATGTGCAGCAGGTTACCCTCATGACATGAACTTTGGACGAGTTGTGTACATTTTTTTCGGCAGCTAATTAGTGAAATTTGAATACATAATTACTCATACACACACACATACATATGCATATGTAATATGCATGAGAAGCGTATGCATTTTAATGGAATTTGCTTTCTTGGCTGCATGCACTCGGGCATATGTAACCATGTGACTATGTGCGATAGAGATTTGAATTTTATTTTCATGTTAACAGTTCTATTATCCTTGTGGCTGTATCTGCTGTCCAGCCGTTGACCAAGAGCCAAGCCGATGATAAATCGCGCCATTTACTCGTGTGCGCCCAGGTAAATATATCAGCTAGGCAAGGTCATAAATATTAATTGTGTTTTCGGGGCCCGGCAGTGCGACTGGGGCTTAGGCTGCGGCTGGTGCTGGAGTTCAGTTCAGGAACTGGAACTGCCTTTAATTTTTTGCATGTCTCGCCAGTTATGTTAGCCTGTGGCGAGTGTTTGCTGTTGCTGTTGCCGTTGTTGTTGGTTGTTGGCATTATCAATCGATCGAACGCGAGCTGCATTTACTTAGCGGCTAAGCCAAACTCTAGCTCGAATCAATAACAACAACAACAACAGCAACAGGGACAACAACTTGCCATTATTGTTAATAAATATTCCAGATTGCAGTCATACAATGTGTTCGACGAGCTAGTGCGAGATGCTCAGCAGATACCCTGTATGAAACCGTAGAGCTAGGATATGTTTGGAAAGTTTTACCAAAATGAGCTAAAGTTTCAAAATAAACGATTTTTGATAGATTGTCTAATGCACTTTTAAGCTTTAAATAGCGTTAACCAAGCAAGAAGAAGAAGGTGGCAGCAGCAGCAGCCACTGCCCTGCAGTGGGTTCTGGACTGTGGTTCATAAGCGTGGCGCTGCTGTGATTAATATCCGAGGAATGCAGTTTATTGTTGCGCGACGCAGCAGCAGAGCAGCGGGCAGAGGCGTGGCCAAACGCGACACATGCAGCGGCTGGAAGGTGGCATATGTGAGGGGATGCGGCAGAGGCAGAATTGTACGCTGAACTGTGGGCTGCAACGCAAATTTGTGTGCATTATTTTTGGTTGCCGCCAAGCGTTTTTGTCGGCTATTTTAGCTCAGTTATAAATTACAGCGGCCATAGGCTATGTGTGTTCGCGTGTGTGTTGGTTGCATAATCTGTGTGCTGAAATCTTTGGCATCCACTTGCGCATATGCACAGGCAGAGCCAAGTGCGGCTCCAGACTCTCAGCACCCATATCCAGCTTCAGCTCCAGACCCGTCTCTAGAACAATAGCAGCCGGGCCGCGCGCACAATGGAGCAGAGGAGCGTAGCTGGAACTGAATGGCCGCCACTCTCATAATAGAGTCATAAAATTTTAGTGCGCCGCTTGGCTAATCCCCCCCTCCAGCCCGTTCAGCCCCCTGTGGCGCCTGGGACAAGAGTATTCGCATCCACCAAACACAAACACACGAGCACAAGTCCAAGTCCAAGTTCAAGTCAAAGTCGTTTCGCTTTGTTGGCCATTGTCCCGGCCATTTACTCGGACCATAGAAATATATAATTGTGATTAATTATACGACATAAAAATGTTTTAGATTCAACATTTTGATGCATTTATTAACCGAAAAATCACTTGAAATGAGCGGTTTTTAAACATTGTATTGCGTCCCCCGGCAACAATGAGGTAAAGAGAGCATGGGCGGAGAAAAGAAGGAAAGGAGGGAGGGGCACTGGCTGACTCTTGAATGTTTGTCGATGGTCGATGGCCTCTATGTGGCCAGCGTAGATCTATTATCAGTTGTAATAAAAGTTTACTTTTCTGTTGATTTTTGTATGATCAAAGCTGGGCTAAGAGCAGCAGCAGCTGGCTTAAAGGCACACTTTGGCTCTATCATCATGAATAGTTTGAATGCTTTGAATTATTTTTAATAAAGCAACGTAAACAAGTAGTTGAGTAAATTATGATCGTATCGTAACGTCGATCGAATGCGGACTTTTGGTTACTTTCGAGCACTTTGGAGTACTTAATTGAGTTCCTGGTCCATTCGACATAGTTGTTGCTCTTTGACTGGCGGCGACAAAGGCGCACTTGAAGGAGCAGCAGCTTCGTTATCACACAACATGCCAGCACATGGGAATTGTTGGGCTGCCTGCCGCAGATGCCACCTAAAACAATGAATGGGGACAGCGGCGGCAGCAACAATTCATCGACTTGAATAGTGAATGCAACTGCGGCATTTGCTGTCCCTGTGTCTGTGTTTGAGTCTGTGTCTGTTGTAGCATTTCATGCCCATCAAATGCATTGACATTGAACAATTGCGCGTAATGTTGTCGTACACTTGACAAGCGCGCAAATTGTAGTGCTACCTGTGCCAGGTACCAGATACCTGCTACCAGTTACCAGGTAACTGCCGTCGCTCAGCCAAAGCGAAAGCTCGAATCTCGATCAGCGGTTCGTCTAGCCATATGAAAGAAACAAAAAGAGAATATGCAAGCCGCGAAAGAACGCACTTTCAATACTCTAACTTCGCTGATATAATAAACAGATTTGATAGAATCATTTCATATTCATTTATTGATACTATTTAATTGATATTTTGAATTTGATATCCTTTTAATTATTTTATCAAAAACATGCCAATGCCTCGATCAACTCATAATACTTTGAGCAAGTGTATAAAATCAACAGAATTTGATGGAAATTGGCAGAGTTGTCTGTCTTGGCGTTGTCTGTCGAGCTTGTTGCGGAGCCTAATGAAGCGACGACATTTGTGGCATAAAGAGAAAAAAAAAACAGAGCCACGGACATGCCACAAACGAATCCGACATGTCAGCCTCGGCCATTTGGCCATTTGCCAAATATGCAGCGACAACTAAACGCTAAATGCTATCCAGATTAATAAGCCCAGTGTGTGGGTGATGGCATCATCTGTTGAGCCTTGAATTGACTTCGGGTCGAAAAGATAGCAAAAGTCAAAAGTTATTTGGCCACGTTCTAGGCCCCGAATATCGTTACGTACCAAACTTGGCCAAGGCAATAATTTTTGCAAGCCGTTAAAGATTTCCACTGGCAACTGTAAAATGCATTTTTGTGCGCCTTAAATGGTCCGAGGAAAAAGTTAGCTGAACGCACGATAAAAAGTGCACAAAACTCGGCAGCCACTGTGGGCAAATGTGGGTAAACTGGCAGAGCTGACTGTAGACAGCAAACCGAAAGGCACCAACTCAAGTTTATATATATCGTGTGCATATCAGCCAAGCTAATTGAGCCTCAAGCTATAATTTTCCAATATGCAGCACAGTTCATGGTCTCCGGCAATAACAATCATTAGTTCCACGTGCAACTGCAAGATTCTAATGCAATTTTTAAAAAGTAGGCGTCACATTAAATAAGCTTTTCACTACTTTGCATAAATACAATGCTAATAAGATATCATTTAGCAATTATAAAAACAATCATCATGGAAATTGTGCCCTGTCCTGCAATCGACTCTATATAAAAACCACAGCCCATTGCCAATTTATCAATATACCTTGAGCAATGTCGAGTTATCGTATACCCCAGAAGAACTGGAGGCGCATTTATGCACAATTCGTGGACCTTTGGTTGGTGCTGCATCAGAAGACACATCCGCAGCATACTTCGCTCTATTATAATCGCATGCAACTAACGTAATATCTGTTCTCGCTCTATATGAAAGCGACTCACTTCTCTTTTCCTTTAGCACCCTGGGGAACTATCCGAACAAGGAGCAGCGTCGCTTACGTATTCGCCGCATCTGGCAAATAATTATTCTGCTACAGGTCAACATATTCTTAGTCACTCTGCTGCTTGCGCTGCCCGAATCGGCCGACAATATAGTCGACTTTGGTCAGGACACTCTGTGGTTGATTGGGGTGACTAAAACGAACTATGTTACATTTACATTTAAACGTTTCCCATTTGCAGTGCTTCTATTTGTCATTCAAATGGCACTTCTTCTACTTTCATGCGGATGACGTGGATGAGATTGTCAATGATCTGGAGGAGTGTCATGGCATGGCAGTGAGTGGGCCAGCGGCGTCAATCATACGCACCGAGCAGCGTGCTTTCTTTCTGATGGAGTCTGTCCTGGGACTGGTCTGGCATGTGGGCATATTGATGTTCTGTGTCCTGGCGATATCGCAGCCTCTTTGGACTGACCAGAAGCTGCCGTTCCACGCATATTATCCTTTCGACTTACACGATCCAACCAAGCATCCCATAGCACATGTTTTTCTATACATCTGGCAAAGCTTTTTCCTGTTCTACAATATGGCCTGTATTCTGTATACAGATGTCTTCGCATCGCACTTATTCGCTCAACTGGCCATAAATTTGAAAGTTCTATGCATTGAGCTGACCACCTTTGCCAAGGTGCATCACAGAGATGAGCAACAGTTTCGCAATGAGCTGGGTCGCTTGGTGAAATTCCATCAGAGAACCATAAGGTGAGTAGCTAATGTGGATAATATATCAAACACCTGATGTCAGTCGTTGCTGGTTCAATAGAAATGTCAATCGCACCAACGAAGTTTTCTATGCGCCGCTCACAATGCAAATGCTAACCGAGTTCCTAATGATATCTCTGTCCACGTTTGAGGCCTTAGCCGCTAGACATGAACCCACTGTGGCGGCCAGATTTATTATATTTATGGTTCTGTCGCTTAGTCATTTAGCTTACTTTTGTTTCTTTGGCGACATGGTCACCGAGCACTCAGAGAAAGTGGCCCAATCGGCCTACGATGCCTATCAATGGTCGCCAAACTCAAGAATCATTCGACGCGATCTAATTTTCATGATAAACCGAGCCCAGCAGCCGCTGTGCTTGGCCCCCAGCCCGTTTCCGCCCTTCAACTGGGTCAGTTATATGAGCGTAAGTTAAGCTGATATATGCCAATTGATCGTCCCTATTTATACGTCAATTTATGCTTTTCAGATAATTAAGCAGTGCTATAGTATATTGACACTCTTGCTAGAGAGCATGGATTAAGTATAAGAATTCAGATCAATTAAATACCCAATGAGACGACCACTTACAAGCCCGAAGTCCTTTCTCCATGTCTTGAGGTTAAGGTAATTTCTGCCTGAAAGCCTTAATCGCTGCCCATAAAGCACTTCAAGCTACCTGACGATTACTCTCTCGCTCTCTCTCTATTTGGCTGCCACGGAACCAATTGGCAGACGGTTCAGTTTGGTAGCCGAGCCACAAAACTATTTACGTTTACAAAATTATGTTGTACTCTGGCATTTTTATCAATAATTTCAGCTTGGCTGAAAGAAAGTTTCGCAACGAGGTTGCATTTTATGCATGCGACCCCGTAAGGTCGCCCAGGCAACGCGAACGCGAACGCGAACGCGAACGGGAACGTCAGCCGATCCAGCTCGAAGTCAGGTCCAATAACTGCGCTCATAAATCGCAATTGTGTGGAACGTGGGGAGCTGGTCAGGGTGCTTAGTGGAAGCTGGTTAGCTGGTTTGGCTGCTGCCATGGCTGCTTCGTCATTAGCTTGATTGAATCTTATTGTTGGCAATTAACCTTCGCAGCTAGGAGGCCAAGCAGCAGCAGCAACAGCAGCAGCAGCAGCAGCCATTCTGTGCTACATCCTGGCAATCAACCGTGGGTAATAACTTCATTTGTTGCGACGCGCATGACACATGACACAACATGTCATCTGCTTATGCCAAAACTAATTGCCAGCGACAAGTCAGCAGCCGCAATTAATTAGCAAACGCTAAACTGAGGCCTAGGCAGCAGCCATAGCCAGTTCGCAGTTGCGGCTGCATTTGCATGCGCACGAAATGCAGAATCGCAGCAGCCGCAGCAGCAGCAGCCGGAAAAACGGGCACAGAAACACAATCATGACGTGCCATGGCACACAAAATAAGAAAAAAGAGTAAAAAGCTCGCATATTGTACACCAAATTTCACTTAGGCACAAGGAGCGCCAATCCCCGCCAGACATCGGGCAACGGACAGCGGACAGCCGACAGTAAACGTTGGCTAAGTCGAACAGCAAACGATTTGTCAGACCATAGCTCATTTAAAACTCCACTTCCTACTTACGTTTGAATATTCGCATTCGCAATTGCATTTTGCCAGTGTTTACTTACTTAGCACAGTTGGCCAACCCCTCTGTGCTCCTCTGCCACATCAGGCGCATTGCATGCAGATGCAGCGCCTTTGTCATGACATGACAGCAGCCTAATTCATCATTATGGCTACACGGCGCTGGCTGTTTGGCTGCTTGGCTGCTTGGCTGCCTGGTTGAGGCTGCTTGGCTGTGGAGCTGAATGAGAGTTTTGTCGCGACTTTCGCTAGACGTTTGCATGATGCATCCTCCGCCTGCCTGGCTGCCTCCCATCTCCAACTAGCATCTGTGCAGCCGATCTCGTTAGACGACCGTGCCCGTGCCTAGCCCGATTCCATGGCTTAGTCTACGCCAGTGTGATTCATTCATGCGCAGTAGTTGGACTTTTCGTTTGCATGCAGCTGACAATGATGATAATAATGATGATGCATGTGGCGGCAGGGCGATCATGGGAGTAGCTGAGGTGGGTATTGTGGAGGCCGTACAAAGTGCACTGTCGATAGCCTGATGATTTGCCTGTCGGCATCAGCAACAGCAACAGCAACAACAACACGACGACGACGACGACGACATTATCGTCAGCTAGCAGTCAGAAGTCAAAGATGTCAGCTGAGAGACGTAGCTGCTCTCTGTACTTCTTATCCGACATTGTATCTCCCAGTGTGGGCTTGCCGAAAGCAATGGAAAGTTATTGAAAGCCTGTAGGCCTGTCAATCTATTGCATCTAGCTTTCCCAAATATACATATTGCAACAGCTCAATGGCTTCGACTTTGATGGAGCAATAAATCAAATCAATTGAGCTGAACTCTTTAAACTTTAAGCCAAACAGATCCAATTTTAATTGGCTTACAATGTATATATCGACGAGAACATGATTCCAGCAGCTCAGAGTGATCTATAGCGTACAGTGAGTGCACGAATTGTGATCTCGTGAAGGTCTAACCAACCTCTTAATATTAAGCATGTATTGAATACCTTGACTATGATTTTTACCTAAGCTCCTAGGAGAACTCCATTCTGAGCCCCATCGAAATTGTCTTATATCTAAGCACTGCATTAAAACTGTCTTTGCGTACATCAGTTTTCTGGTAGCCATTAGCCAGAAAGGTGTCAGCTCTTTAGTCGGGCGAACTCCTTAGGCAGCGTAGCGTAAGTAGCGCAAATGGCATGCACGACTTCATTATGAGGCAATGCGACGAATGCATCATCAACGTCAGCTGGAACCACTCTCATTGCTGGCACCCAATTCCTGGCTCGTGACATAGTGTCTGGACTTTAACTAGGTTCGATTGGTAGCCAAAACTTCTGATTGGTGTCTGTTCGAGCTTTCGGTTTTGGGGCAGTGCTCATCAAGCTCGCTGGCAAAGCACGAAAATGTGCCTCAAATTTGTTTGGCAAGCCAACTGGCAGACGTGGTTAGCGGCCCATGGAGCGTCCATTAAATTCCTGGCCGGTTCTCGCTAATGAAGTCATAAAACCGCATGACATTTTCGCTACCTCCAAGCCAAGGAAAGCCCCACGAAAAACAGATCTCACTTTTTGTTTGTCAGACGATCCTACTGTTGTGGTCTGTTGGGTTGTGTTGTGTTGAGTTGTATTGGGGCGCTGTCGTACATACAATTGTCTGGTCGAGAGGATTGCTGTCCAAGTCCATTCGGCTCGATCGTTCCAATATGCAAATGGACCTCCGCCCGCTGCCACCCACAGACAGTGCGACGACGACGACGACGTCAGCTAACAACAAGGAGGACCAAGACGACGATCCATATGTCCATATGTTCATATCGTCCATGAGATCTCTCGCTTTCGATTGGCTTTACGACGTCGTGGCTTCGGAGACACAGACATGGTATGAGATTTAAGGGGCGCGCGGGGGAGTGCATTTGCCCAATCTGACTGCGCTTTATATTTCGGCTCAGCTTTATCTTGCCAACTGATTTTTTTGTGCATTTCATTTCGTTCGCTTCGTGCTGCAAATATGCAAAAATTGTGGCAAGGCCCGACGAGAGGACTGCACGTCCGTGGCACACGTTTCGAGGGCCTTTCGTGTCATAAATGGCATAAATATTCCAACTTGACCGGGCAACCTAAATATTTACTCCTTCAGCTGCATGCCCCTGGCCACCCCCATCCACTCCTTGATTATGCGGCTTAAGAGAAAAATTATAACAATGTGCGAAGCGAGACTTTCACTTTTGCTTGTGCTCACTGTACAGAGCTTGAAAATGAAATTAAATCGTTTTTCATTTTTATGTCTTCGGAGGCATTCGGCTGAAGTTTATGGCAGGTCCGGGTTCAGGCAGATAAACTGAACCGGGGTTACCAGCAAATATATAGAATAAATTCAATTCCTCTATAAATCAATCGTAAAAAAAATTATAATGACTTATTCATAGTTTTAATTTGTTGCATTGCTTATGCTTTTTCAATAAATAGTAAAATGCAATTAAATATTTGTTTTTATTTCATTTATTTTATTTGGAATTGTATTTTATTTGTTTTATGATTTTTTTTGTGATTTTCTTTTTTGTTTTTCGTTTTAATTTGCTGAATAATTTCTGCACAATTTATTGAAATGAATCGCTTTTTTGTTTCGGATTTCGTGTTTACAATTTGTCCATTTGTCCGCATAATTAGTTAGGCTATAAGTACGCTAAATTGGAACATTTCGAGTTGCATTTAGTAGTTGAATTGGCGCTCGCTATTTATGAAACTGGATGGCTGCCCGTCTGCGACATCCCATTATCGATGCTAGTTAACATTATAGTTATTATTATTATTTTTATTGTAATGCTGTGAAGAGTGCGTTTAATGAATAAATATTTAAAATACAATATTGCAGTTGTGTTTTTGTTTTTCGTTTTTTTGTTTATGATTCTAAAACTAATGCGAAATTGCATTTAAATTAAGCAAAATATTAAATAGAAGTATTAGGAGTAATTTTACTGTTTTCTTTTTGTTTTTTGCATAGTTTTAAGCTGATTTGTTTTAATTGTAAATATTTTGTACATAGCAACAATTTGACTTAAGTGACTAGTCTTTGGTTGTTGTTGTTGTTGTTGATATTGTATAAACAAAACAATAACTTGAACTTTAAAGAGGAATGTTCCGTTTGCCATTGACGCTCATACAATGCTCTACATAAATTATTTATTCTTAAGTTGAAGAAACTTTCGCTTCGGATTAATTGCTAATTGGAGCAAAAATTGCAGAATTGCAAATAAGTACATATATTTATATTTACAGTGTATTTACATTGGCGCTAGTTGGCTTGTTGTTTCAAGTACTTTTGTTGTTGCTGTTGCTGTTGCTGTTTGTAGTTTAAGCTTATTTGATATGCATGACATGAATTTTGTATTAGGCTTTATTGAATGCAACTGCAAATGCTAAATGTTCCTGGGATTATTACATATACTTTAAGAGATTATATTAACTTGGCGAACACTTGCTGGGAGCATTTAGACATTTGGACATTTGGCTTCCATAAAGACATTAAATGCCCAAAGTAAAGAAGGCCCATAGAAATGTTGCCAATATTTGCAAAGCTTTCGTTTTTGAGCTTAGCTTTTATTTTTCCTCTTCTTTTTTTTTATTTCTGTCTTTATTCGTTCTTTTGCTATGGCAATACACACACACACATATATATATATAGACATATATGTATATAAACTATTTGCTTTTGTAATCACAAAGCAAGAGGAATGAAGTGAAAAGCCACAAAGTTTTGTGCCATTTGCAGCCGAGAACAAGCCAGCAAACACAGTGCCATACAAGCAGATACCAGTTAACACACATACACACACACACTCTCACACATTGACAAAAGCTTTAAACGAAAATATCTATGTAGACGAAAAAAACAGTAGTTGTATCATTTCAATTGCATTGAACGACTCATTAATACCCTGTGCCCAAACTCGGCAACATCACAGTAAAATTAAAATATTTTTGATGCTACTTCATAGACAGTTAGAGAATAATAAGTTATATTAGCATTGTCCTGGCATATATAGAACTTTAGCTAGCCTAAATTGCTCTTCCACAAACTGTACATAGTCTCTATAAACTCTCTCTCACACTCTGCCACATATGGTATTTGAAATGCACACACACACACTGGCACACACTTTAACAACGATTTAAACTTGTGGCATCATCGACAGAGCAGTTGCCAGTTGCAAAAAGCTGGAAACAAAAAGCACGCCCTTTATTTGCTTTAATCTGACAAAATCCCTGTACTAATGCCGAACGGCAATAAAGGATAAAACGTGCAAGGCATGTAAAGAGCATGCTGCCACATAACCCGCCATCAGCAGGCGTAAGCCTTGCCTCTCCCCCTCCCTCTGTCCCGCTCTCTCTCTCTCTCCTCTAGGATACCAGCCCTACCTCGTCTGTCTGGGTGTCGGTTTTTGGTTTTGTTGGCTGCTCCGATAGTTTGCACAACGGAAGTGGAAGTGACACTAAATTCGTTTCGGTTTTCCCAATTTCCCAACAGCAAGAAGACAAAATAAACTTCACAAAATGTTACGTGTAATCCTTTTTATGATCTGCACCAGAATTTGTGTGCCGCATTTTAAGCAGCCCGTGTTGCCAGTGCTGCCAGTGTGGCCAGTGTTGCAGCAGCATGTTGCCGTGCAACATGTCACTGCCAGATCCAGCCGCTGCTGAGGCTGCGCCGACGCTGACGCGCCCAGGCGCAGCTCTCGGCCATCTCTCAGCTGGCGACCACCATGGTGCCGGCCTGTGGCCAGTGGCTGGCGGCATCAGTGGGCGCTGGCGATGACGTGACCGACGACATGGAGTTGGAATTGGAGCTGGCGTGCAACTGTTGTGGCTGATGATACTCGGGCTCCTCGTAAGCGGCATCCTCGTCGCAGTCATGCGGGTAATGCGGCGGCAGGGGAGCCTGCTGCTGATGCTGATGCTGCTGTTGCTGTTGCTGCTGCTGATGATGATGATGATGGTGGTGATATGGATGGAAGTAGTGTGGCGGCTGCTGTTGCAGCTGCTGTTGGCTTGGTGGCGCGCTGCCTGCCACTGATGGCGACGCGGCCAGCATTGGTGTAGATGTGGCCGCCAGCGTGGGCGGCATGGGTAGCGGCAACGGCAGCGGTAGTGGATGCAGCCCGCGTATGCTGTCCGCCGGGTGTGCTGTATAAATATTGCTGCGTCTCAGATGATTGTTGTTGTTGTGGGCGCTGCTGCCGGCAATTGGAGCGCCGCCACTGCTGCCCGTGCCCGCTCCGTTGCTGTGGGCGCGCTTGTTCCGCGACCACCACTGAACATGTGTGTCTGCAACAAGAGAGATGGGGGCACAGATGCACAAAACTGTGGCCACAGTTGCTGGAACAGCTGCCGTCAGCTATTGGCAGTTGGCTCAATACTCACCATTGCGATTGTTGGACGACTTTTTGCGCCGGCAACGCACCACGGCAATCATGATGATGGCCCCGAGTAGCGCCGATAGTACAGACACAATGATCAGTGTCAGCGGCCAGCCCAGTTCCGTGGCCTTCTCTGCAAGAGCGGACCAAGCAAGGATATCCGGTTAGAAAATATTGTAGGAAATCGAATAAGAGAGATAGAGAGAGGGAGGGAGGGAGAGGGCGAGAGTTGACTTACCTATCGTGCCCTCGAACATGAATGTGCTCTTGGTGGGCATGGCCCAGGAGCATAAATCACATGTGGTTAGGCCATCGCTCAGCACGGGCTCATCGACAAAGAAGGGCGGCCGGGGTGGCGGCGGCACAAAGCGTCCATTCCACAGGCCCTGCTCGCTGGCATCGAAGGCCATTGGCGAGCCAAACAAATCGTCATCGTCATCGAAGATGTCGAATGTCACATCCCCAAAGCTGCTCAAATCCTCCGCCGAGCTGGCCACCAAGCTCTCAATGCGTGGCGGACTGAACGTGGGCAAGGCGGGCGAGACGGCGGCAGCGGATGCGGACGCGACTTGATTTACAATGTAACTAAGGCGGGCATCGTTGCCAGGCAGGAAGCTGACCATTGTTGTCGATGTCGTCCTGGCGCTTTCGCCAGAGCTGACACTGATGTTGGCAATTGATGGCATACTGTGTGCGGGTGGTTGGAGTGGGCGCAGTGGACAGTCGTTTGAAGAGGAGGGTCGGATTTGCTTGGTGCTCTTGCCAATCCTTTGACTGCGCTGTTGCCAGTTATCGCCTCTGTCTACTGCAGCTGTCTTTTGCACATTTTGAACGGATTTGCGCCAGCTTCACTGCAGCTCCAAATAGCCTGCAAGATACAGAGAGAGAGAGAGAAGAAATAAGTCTATGTTAGTCGAGCCAATTAAAGTCTTAATTGTGCTGTCAATATGAAGGCTTTCACATTTTTCATATGTTTCGGCTCAGCCTAAGCTCAGCTATTGCTCGTGCGCTAATCCTGCCCAGCCTTGGCTAGGATTGACGCTGGCGTCATGCATCACCTGCCAGAGCCATGTCAGCAATCGTTTTTCAATGACTGCTTTGTACCTATTTCCAATTTGTTTGCCTCAACTCCAACCCTGCCGCCTCCAAGATACGTTAGATACACGTGCATCACCCAACCCAAGCCCCAACTCTCAACTCATGCTGCCATCGTTGTATCTTTTCAGCTGGAAATTGAATTTTTGAACAGCACTCGATACAGCTCGCACAGCTCTTACAGCTCTACGCCCCACATCGTCCATATGGCAAACGCTTCTAACGAGAATTGACAGCTTGACAGTTTGATATCAGTCTGGAAGACAGCATTAGTTACAGTTGCTGCTATTCTTCTACTCAATGGTCTGCTCGAATTTGCTTTATTAAAAAGTACAAACAGAAAGAAGGGCAGAGGGGCAGAGCAGCCAGGACTCTGACTCTGACTCTGACTGTGACTCTGTTGCCATCACTTGACTAAGCGAACTCAATTTGCGAATCGTTGTGAAACAATAATCATGATAAATTAACACTAATTTGCAAGCGACAAGTGCTGCACTTACACTCAATGCCAGTGGCTTAGCTGGGTGGGAATGCCATGCTGCTAGGTATTTCATAAGCAATCGCTAACTAAGCTAATCGCCAGGTGCAAATGTGGTGCAAATATCGTGGGATACTTGCCATTTGTGGGAATAGAATTGCTTAAATATATAGAATTACTATATAAATTGAAATTTAAAGCCTGTTTCCTGTGTACATCAAGCGCAACTTCCAAAGTTTCTGCACTTGCTTCAATGTTGCCCATGATGTGCCCCTGCGCGATGCGACGCCTCTGACTGAGCGAGAGCCGTTCACTGAAACATTCGGCACGTTTCTGGCATTAGCAGTCTGAACAGTCGCCGAACTTCAACGCCAAATGAAAAATGCAGCTTCAGGTGAGGTCTCTGCTACCACGAAAAACCAAAAAACTACCGCTGCACTTGCCACGCCTCGTCGCGCACACACACACACACCCATATATACTCCTATATATACAGAGATAACTGTGTAACTATAGCAATAGATGTAGTTACATATAGAAACTGGAAAGTTTTCACGTGGCAAATGGTTAAATAATATTTGTGCCAACGGCTGCAACTGCAACCAAACTCCGTGCACCGCACAAAAGGCCAAATGTGGGCCGAGGTGGTGCAGCCGGTGGCGGAATTGAGTGGAGTAAGCGATATTTAGTCATTCTCGAAAATGAGAAAACGTGATGCGCATAAATTGACGCCGAGAGAAGAAAGAGAATTTCGCCTCACGCAAGCGAATGCGAACTGCGAATCTTTTTGAATGAATGAACACACACACTCACACACACACACACACACAGAGACACAGTGACAGCTGGAGTGGAATACCTGGTTGCTGTTTACTCCCAGTTGGCCGTGTGGGTGGCAGTTACTCTTCTTCAGCTCCATGCAGCTCGGCTATTAATAAATTTATTTCGCTGCATGCCTCAAATAAATTGTAAAGTCACGTGAATCTCTTCACTCTGCAGTCGTTTGTTTGATTTGTCTTTGATGGCAGTCGCTGTCGAGTGGCTTTGACTTGGGCAATGTTGCGACAGCTGTCAGCTGCCAGTTGCCTGGCTGGTTGGTTGCCCCAGCTGCCAGTTGCCTGGCTGCCTGGTTGCCACATGCCGCCAAGTGCGTGGGCGTCGTCCAATGTCCAAAACGTCTTCAGTTTCAATCGTTTTGGCGGATTCGTGCCTCAGGCGGCAAAACCGGCTGCCAGCCAATGTTTGCCAATTGAATGGAGCCGGCACAACGCCCACCACCAAAATAAAACAAAATAAAAAAAACACAAATAATAATACAATGTAACAGTACATATGACAATACACAGCAATACACACACACACACACACACACGCGCACATAACAAATATACGTTTCATTGTTGGCAGAAAAGCAATTACACATGTCCTACGATTCTCCGACTCGCTTTATGTTGTATTTGTATTCGCACACACACACACACACTCGCACACAGCTTTTTAATTAGTGCAAATGTTTGAACATTATTTTCGCTTATACATATATTTCACATATTTTTATTTGCCCTGTGCGTAAATATAAATGGGGCCATACATATTGAAATTTAATACGATATGAAGCCAAGCGACGCATAACAGAGCACACACACACCAGCACACACAACAGCACACCCGCACACACATTTGGCCCTCTTATAACTATGCCAACATGCCTGAATATAACTACATAAACATTCGGGCGGGGGCATTGCCAAATGTTTACAGTGGGAGTTGGCTTTTCATTTAATACGGCGAATTAACTGCGAATGGCGAAACGCAACGAAAACAGTCATAAATACTTGTATTTGCTCTGTAGGCATAAGGTCAACAATAAAATTAGCTGAAAAATACTTATCAAAGCAATCAATTTAAACGGCCCAAAATAATGAAAGTGACAACAGCAAATCCCATTCTATTAACTTCTTATATTTGTATCTGTGTGGCTGCTCAGCAAAGATCTCGAAATGTTGAAAGTTTTCTTTTGGAAACTAACTCCAACTCTTGTGAAAGTTAGGCAACCACAAAAGGTTGAACAAAGCCTAAACAAATCATCGAGTTCACTCGTGATAACAATAAACCAGCATTAATATGCATACGATAAGATTTAACGACTCGAAATGGTCTGATAATGTTTTTTTTTGCTCTTTTTGGCAAATCAAAATATTGGTTAGCCACAAAAGAGTGAATTAATTTTTGTATTTATGCATTTTCCCACGAGTGGCGAGCGCAAACGGGAGCCATCGGATAATATTACATAATGAAGCGCCAAATTTGCGAGCATCAACAAGAAATTCCAGCTAAGGATGCGTAGGCGCAGGATTCCAGAGGACAGAGCAATAGATAGCCCCGGGTCTGACGCCCACAATCAAATTTGATTTCACTTGCTGTCAGTTTGTCTGAGCTGTCTGGCATTTTAAAGCATCGTCGAAGGATGTTCATGTTTCAGCACAAAAACGTGCCTTGAATTTTTCCGTTTTCCTTTCCTTTTTTGGTCTGTCGGCGTTCTGCGTGCGGCTTTCAGTTTTCGGTATTCGGTTGACTTGGTCTGCGGCCAAGTCATCGTCTGGAATTCCCAGGGAATGAAACAACAGAAGGCAGCAAAAAGGACAGAAGTGGTTCTTGCTGTAGGTTATGGGAGCTGGCCAGTCATAATTTGCACTAATAATGAAGCAACTGGGAAATAGAGACTCGCCCTGTCATGCCTGATGACTGGACCAAAAGCTGGAGCAAAAGGTCCTGCCCCGCCCTGTCCCAAGCATTAGCGTTAAAGTAATTGAGTTAACTAGCAGAAATATAATAGCATTCTATGACATGGAAGCTGGTCAAGACGGGGAGGTGAGAGTGAGAGATAGATAGACATGACATGCACTCAAATCCAAAGACAATGTCAAGCGAGCATAAACTTTCGGATACAAATGCTTCGGGCTATATGAATGCATGAAAATTGAAAATCTATTCAAATGCCAAAGCGATAAAATAGCCAAACTCGACCAGAAAAGTAGATTTACATTAATTATTAGCAAAAGAGAGAAAGAGAGAGAGAGAGAGAGAAGGGTAGAGAAAGAGAAATGTCTTGAAACGAACTCAAGGAATCGCCTCAAGTAGTTGCTGCTGCACCGACTCGAGTGGCATTTCAAAAGCAAATTAGTTGATTTGTATGCAGCTGTGTCTGGGCATGAAAAACTAATAGAGTTGTATAACAAGTTGGAGCCAGTCAGCGGAAAAACTGGAAAAAGAAATCGTCTCCGTGGAGGCACAACTTCGACAACTGATAAACTCAGCGTTTTATTGCCAATTCAAATTCAAATTCCAATTCCAATTCAAATCAATGAAGGGCAAACGAAATTTGGTTATTTATGGCTGTCGCACAGCAAATCTACAGATCGTTCAATCCGATCGAACCGTGTAAGCATTTTCAACATATGCATAACATTGATAAACGAACCTAATGAAGCGAAAGATCAAGCCACTTGATCACTTGTTGTCGCTGCCACATGACGAGGCAATAGAAACCGTGGACCCAAAGCTGAGGGCTGAGATTAGATAAGGCATTTAACTAGGCCCTAAAGCAGTCATTGTTTCAAGCGAAGCCTAATAAAGTAATCAAAATGTTACTAAGTTCAAGGAAATGAGAAGAAGAAATTCTAGTTTAGACTAAACTGAGATAAGATTCCAATTCCAGTCGACTTAGTAAACTGGCAACTTGATCAAATGTGATTGGTATACTTAAGCTACTTTATAAGAGAATTTTGCTTTTGTAGCGAGCTACATTAAAGTGGAAATCAATTTTCATAATCTGTAGCTTAAGTCAAAATTCATCAAATGTGGATAAGGAATGCAGCCAACTTAAGGCTGGCTTCCAAGCATATTTCGGCAGCTCTTGGGATTGCCACACAGATACACACACACACACACACACACAGCGTGTGGGAGCCACTTGAGCTGGCAGCCTGTGTTCCCAGATTCATAATTTTCAACAAACAAATCGCTTTATAATCCCTTTTCAAACACACAGGCGGAGAGAGACAGAGAGACAGCTGGGCAGACACCAGGCAGGCAGCCTAACAGACAGGCACTTGGCTTCATTCTAATCCTTAGCTGTCAATAAGACATTAATGCCTCAGCTTCACACACAGCTCAACTGCTCAGCCAGTGCTGCAGGGTAGTAGCGCTTGAAAAGGATTTGAAGTTGAGGTTTTGAGTTTTCGAAATCGAGTTGATGAAGGCCATGGAGCCATAGCTAGATGTGGGTGATCGAG